AATTTCTATGTTTAAAGTACATTTTGTGTTGATGTACAGATTTTATTTACATGCAAATAAATTTCAAAAAGAATAAATGAAATTTCTTTTTTTTTTTGTTCTATCGATTCTTTGAATACATAGTTGAGATTTATTATAAAGAAAAAGAAAAAGAATTCATCATCACTGAACTAATATTTTTCAAGAAATCAAAAAAAGAAAAAACCAGATCAGTATGTTCTATGCAAAGCAATATAAAATTATTGTTTTTTTATATTTCATAAACACGTCCTTGAATACCAATATTAATACCAAGTTGATTACATTGTTCACGTTGTTTACTTTGTTTATCATATAATGGATTTGAATGATTAAAATGAATTAATGTTATTTTATTTTCCAAACCTTTAAATTTTTCTAATGTTTGTAAAACAGTTGGATGTGGTATTTCATCAATATTTCGATTTGGTAATTCATCACTACTAAAAAAAGTTGCATCAAGAAATGCTTGATCAACATTTTTAACAATATCAATTGGTAATAAACCATTTTCATTTGACCAACCATGTTCCCAACTATCAACATCTGGACAATAGAAAATATTTCGTGATGGTCCACGTATAAAATAACCAACAGTATCACTAAATTCTGCTCGATGTGGAACAAGTTGAGATTTAATAAATAAATTTGTTGAAAGTTGAATTTCAGTTTGAGGTAATAGAGGATTTATAAGAAAATTTCCGATTTGAATATAGGTTGACCATGGTTGATTTGTTTGAAAAAATTGACATACACTTTCAGTACCATAAATCTATTGTAAAATAAGAAATTAGTGTTAAATATTTAAATCTAACGCACTTTTAAACCTTTCCAATCGATTGTTTCACGTCCAAATTGAAATAAACCAACATAATGTCTAAAAATTATCAAGATAGTTAAAAAAAACATTTATTTTTATTCTTTTCATTACCCCATATGTAAATGAGTTAAAAAGATTCCTTCTAATTTAAATGAATTATTTAATCCAAAATGATTTTGTAATAATGTACATTGAGCTCGAAAATCAGGTGAACAATCAATAAGCCAAACTTGATTTGTATTTCGATCGATAATAGCTAAACTAACTGTATATTGTTGAGATATTTTACCATCATGAACTGCACTACAATTTTTACATTGACAACGTATTTGAGGCATACCACCATCTTGAGCTGTACCCAATAAAAGAATTTCAATGTTATTTGTTGTCATTAAAATCTAAAA